CAGTTCGGCCTGTGATGGCTGCGGAGGTGTGGGCATGTAAGGCAGCAGGAGTGGGAACACGCTCCCCGTCAGGTGACCTCTGCATATGTCCCTCAGGCGGCGTTCATGAATCAAACTTCATGGGAAAAAGGTGTCCCGGTCTCGTGATCAGGTGTCAACTACCTGCCCTGGTTTGTCTGAAACTATAGACTTTATTTATTAAAGTGAAATATATATTTAACAATGTGACAAAACATTCACAAAAACTCAATTTCTTTGTATTTTTATATCAAAATCTGATCCGAGCTTCCGGTTTGGGTTCAGGAGGTCAGACTCTCCACATTAGAGAGAAGGTTTAAGAAGTTCCTCTTTAATAAAGCTTATAGTTTGACCTGGCTCAGGTCACCTTGCTGCTATAGGCTTATACTGCCGGGGCACTTCCCATGATGCACTGAGCTCCTCTCTCCCTCTGCACAAATTCACATCCCATTAATGCATGTTACTAACTTCAGTACCTTCATTCAGCACAACAGAGCCGTAATTCTCTGGGCATTTTTCTTTTAAACGAGGATATTTTCAGTGCTGTTCTCTCACCGTTAAGCTAGCACAGTCCACAGGTGAAACCTCGCCGGCACTGCTGTACGAAGGGTATTCAGAAATACAGAGGTAGGAAAGATAAATTCCTGCACACTGTCTAACATGCAAAACAATTTATTAGCAACGTTTGGGTCCTCGACCTTCACCCAGCAAATGGTTCATGATAATGAGAAATCATCTTAATGTATATAATATAATAAATGTATTTTTTATTGAAAGGTTTTTGTGTATTTAAGGTGGCTGTGCCGACTATTGTGTCGCTACCGTCGTCTTCCAGCTGTTTACTAAGCTGCCACATTGTCATTAATTGTATAACTCGGGTAACTTTGTGTAACTTTTATACTTTTTGACACTCATCACGCACCGGCCCCATGAAGTAAAGTATACAGCGGTCCAAAAACTCTAGCTCTTCGAAGAAATACTCCAGACTTTAAGGGTCCTCATGTGGACCATTTCAGGCACTGGTTCAACTCCTCACGTTTATAACAAACTAAATTTCACTTTGATTTTGTAGTTAAATTGCTCAGTATTGTAAATATGTATATGAGGTATCTATGTTTCTATATCTGGTTCAAACACAAATATATTAAAGGACAGAGAAAAGCTCTCTAACTCTTGATTATATGAAGCTCATCAGCATCTTCTCCTTATAAAGTCTGTTGTGTAACCGAGGCTCTTGAAGTGAAGACGAGCTTTTCTTCATCCTGCTTTAAACAACTAGACGTCATTTCTAATAAATGGACGAGAGCACAGACTCTCCAGGATATACGACACTTTAAGGAGCAGATAATCTCCACCGTCACCCTTAACCCTCCTCCCACCTCTCCCCTCTCTCCTCACCCCGCCCTTCCCCGCTGTGAGAGGCTAATTTACGACTCCCCCTACAGTTAATACGGGTTCTTCATCCCGGTGTGGCACTGTGGTTTTAAAGACGGTTGTATACGTGGGGTTGTAATCTCTCTCTTTACATCCCCCGTCTAGAGGAGCCTAAAGGTCAAAGTTCAGCACCGGTCACAGCCGAGTGTCCCGAATGATATTAAACAGGTTAATGCTTCGAGCTTTATAGTGTTATATCTCTCCGTTATGGGTTCCTTGCTTTATAAACAGAGAGAAATAAGAATAAAACTTGTTAAATTAGATGTGAGTGAATGAGATAACAATAATTAGCTTAGCTTAGCATGAAGACTGGAAGCAGCTACACTGTAAACTTTGGGTGTATCTCGTTGGTTTCCTCCGTACAGAAACTGAAATTTGAAAACTTATTCGGTTTCCGAGGAGAGAGTTACGTGTTGGAACACTTCCGGTTGAACAACAGTTGATTAGCAGGTCTGTTAGCCTAGCCGTATTGCCATCGCCATAAACGCAGCCAAATTGGAGGCAGGTCGAGACGATGAGGAGGATGGCGTTGTGTTAACTGATAACTGCCTGATTAAATATCGGGTAGTTACCATGGTAACAGCCCAAAAACAAAAAACTATTGTACAAACATAAGTTGTAAGTCATTATAATGATAAACTTCAGGATAACAAAGTCATTATTCACTCACCTACAAACATCTGTACACTGTAAATCACAACGTCAAGGCAACTGTCTTCAATAAACTAACTTAAGTTCTGAAATAGACGAATAATTGATGATATTTCACTTTTTTTCTTCAGAAGAATTAATCTTTAAGTTTTCAAAGAAGTTTTTAGTTGCAATAATTTTATTTTCAAGCACCCAAATAATAAAAAATCTGGTTCACAGCTCACTGATTTCTTTAAACAACAGTAAAAATTTCCTGGAAGCTAATTTCAACAGTATCCCATAGTCATAGTTTCTCATTATACCGACTAACTGAATCTTTTTTTTATGTAATTTTGGGCTTCCATATAAAAAGTTTTTCTAAACAAGAAAAGTAAACTAAAGATTAAAGCTCAACAAAACTTTTTTTTAGTTAATTTCCAAAACTCTAGTAAAGTTTCTATACTTTGTGGCTCATCTGAATTTCATTTGTTTTAAGTCTGTTAATGTTTTCACCTTGAATCAGTGTTTTTACTTCATTTATAATTCTGGGAAAGTTCAGAAAACGTGTCCTCAGAAAGGTGTTTGCTACACAAATAGTGGCAAAAACATGCACACACAGACTATTTAGGGGAACATTTCCTTTCAAGCTGCAGCCGGTAGACGGCAAACACATTACTCAACACGACAGAAACGTCTATTCATAACGCAAATAAAGAGCCCCTCTTCTTAATTAACATCCAAACCCACGTATTCCTGCACACACAACAGCAGCAGCTCACACGCACGCACACACACACACACACACACACACAGTCATTTAACCTGTTGTTTCCTCAACAAACTGCAGTTGACTGTGGATGTGTGTCACTGCGGAGAAAAGTTAAAGGGGGTTGACACTGCAGGCCACAGTGTGTGTTTGTGTGTGTGTGTGTGTGTGTGTGTGTGTGTGTTGGGTGGGGGTTAGGGTGGAGCCGCCAAGTCTAAGCCAGCACACAGAGAGAGGTTGTTGGGGCTGAGAGTCGCTCACAGCCCCCTCGATGTGTCGGCTCTAAATCACCGGCTGCACAATATGGTCGACCACAACTATGATAACTCTCACAAGTATGATCGACCGCGCTGACAGACGACGAGCCGATCGGTGAAGAAAGAAAACAAAAACCTCAGTTTATTGAGGCAGTTTCACGCTCCAGTTTATCCTGATGACTGGAGGGAAAGTTGATGCAACAGGACCAATAAGTCAATCATAAAAAAAAATGTCAATATAAACTATTACAAATATTCACTCTGGAAAATGTTTACACCAACAAAGTGCACAAAGAACTACAAACCGAACCAATCAGCTTCCTTTAAAGCTCTAATCTGTAACATTTCCTCATTAAACAGTGTATAAGCTCTATGTTCTATATGTAGTTGTGTTATTACATTATCCCAAATGTTTCCAACAATGTTCAACCTCAGAGAAATCTGTCATTTTATTCAGGTAACGCTGCGTTTCACCGGTCGCCTGTCGATGGCGTCATATCCGCTTTGTGCCTGCGTCAGCGTTGTGGTTGTCTGCCAGAAACCTGAACTAATGGCTAGCTTCATCCAGACTCCCGGGGTAGATCTGGCTGGCTGTTTACAGGTTACTTTGTCGGCTGGTGGCGGATAACGTTATTCAGTGTGGATATCGTAGGTGGCTAACCACGCTGTTGGACAGACAAAGGACGTCCCGGAGGGGCTGCGAGCCGAGCTGCTGCTAACGTTAGCTCAGCTTGTTTCTCTGATAACTTAAGATCCAGACGTCCGATGACTAAAATCCTTCATCCGGTTCAAATCTAGAGTTAAAAAGCACCAAGATCTAAACAGTGGATGGTAACAATGTGGCTTCAGACTGGATCAACAGTCAATGTATGACAGCTTCTGGCAGACAACCACAACGCTGACGCAGGCACAAAGGGGATATGACGCCATCGACAGGCGACCGGTGAAACGCAGCGTTACCTGAATAAAATGACAGATTTCTCTGAGTTTGAACATTGTTGGAAACATTTAGGATAATGGAAGAACTCAACTACATATAGAACATAGAGTTTATACACTGTTTAATGTAGTAATGTTACAGATTAGAGCTTTAAGTAAAACTATTAAAACTAAAACAGGTAAAGTAAAAGTACTCATGATGATACTTGTACAGAGCTAATAGTAACTACTTATGTCTTAACTGATTACATGTTATATATGTATGTAAAATGTTCTACAGAGTAAAGTTGACAGATGACTGTAGTGGAGTAAAGTGGTTATAAAGCAGGTAAATAACCTCAAGCACACTCTGCAACAGCACATTCACTGTCTGGGCTGCAGGAACAGCTCATTAGATTACTCAATGAAAGTCCAAAGGAATCTATTACAACCTCTGGGAGCAGTTTGCTTCTATATAGTGATAAAGTGTAATTCAACTTAACATTGTATTAGTTTTAGTTTTTAATGGTGAAGATGATTTTCTGGACCCCAAAGACTCCTGATTTTACCTCAGTGCAACATTTTGTGTATTACAGATAATCATTATGATTATGATTGTTAATCCTATCTGTTTATTACTTTACTTCTCTCCGTTTTAAATGTATTTCCACAGCTTGACTGCTCGTTTTCTTCCCTTCTGTAAAGCACTTTGTATCAAAGCGACCAAAAAAAATCAAGTTTATTACATTAGTTGTTGTTATTCTCAGACTTTTAGTTAGTTAAAGTTATTCCAATAAATACAGCAGTTCATCATATGACATTAAAATATCTGTGGTGAAGATTATTGTGCCAACTCCCTTTCTCTCCAATAAAGTGCCAAAAAGAAAAACAAGAGGGAAAGAGTCCTAAATATCCTTTAAAATCATTCTGTGCAGCAGTGTTTCTCTGTGTTAATATGAGGAATCAGAGTACTGTACCTCGCTCGGAGCGCTGTGTTGCGGTGGAACTGAACTCTGCGGCGGTCCAGATGCGGAATGAAGCGCCAAGCGATTAACGCGCGTAAAGGTAAGACGAACCAGGCGCTGTGGATGTTCCCAGTGCGTCCTGATGGGGGTCCGACCAGTTAGAGCAGTGTGACAGAGAGCAGCGCACTCCTTCCTCCTCCTGTGTGTGTGTGTGTGTGTGTGTGTGTGTGTGTGTGTGTGTGTGTGTGTGTCCACAGTTGTTTGTACGCAGGGATGAGAGGGAGTTTGCGCTCTGACGCACGCAGGTGAAAGTTTAAACTCCGGTGAAATCTGCAGGTTTTATATTTCCAGATCAAAACTGGAAAAAGCTTCAAAGCTGCAGTGTAGTTTGGGTTGTTGTTTTGAGTCTCAAACAATAAGGAGGTACCCAGCCCCTGTTGCTCAATGTGTGAGGACAAGCCTTGATTTAGAGAGTTGTTCCCGCTGCTCCTCCTGGATCTCTCAGTCCCATAAAGCGTCGTTTAAAGTCCATCTGTTCCAATAAAATGCTTTCCTTTACCATTAAAGTATCAACACCTGTGGAATTCAGAAGCCTGTCAGCACTTAATCCCGTTCTTCACCACAGAATTTAATCCAATAATGAGTTATATAATCCAAAAATGAGTGGAGTGAAATCATTTCATTGTTTCCAGAACTTTAAACTCTGGCTGAAACAAAACATTTGTTCTGGACATGAGAAAATTAAAGTTTCTCATCTGGGCTGCAAACTGCTCCAAAATCTGAAATACAGACTCTTATAAACAGCCAGCAGGATTATATACACACTGAGATCATGAGTCCAAGTCGCCCCTGCTGCACCCCCACCTCTCCCCCTTCCAACCCACATGTCAAAGTGTCCATGAGCAAGACATTGAACCACTGACAGTTTATATAACGACCAGCAGGGGGCGGCACCATTACCATTCAGTCTTACGGAGAAATGAGCAACTTCTCCGTTGATTTATTCCCTCAGTAAACAGTTTCCTGATGAGTTTCTGGTCTCAGTCTCTAGTTTCAGTCTTCTTCCATACAGCATGATGTTCATTTAGTAACTGATGGTCCCATTTAGAGTAAAACAGACCATAAAGCAGGGTATGCTTTAGGGCGGGGCTACCTTGTGATTGACAGCTCATTCTCGGTGAGTCCGTCCAGCTCAACGCACCAAACTCAGATCAAACTGTCAAACAGTGCTGATCAGATATGGATCCAGATTCTGTAGTTGACTATTTCTCTCCTCAAATCTGTTCACAAACATATTTTACCGCCATTGTTTCCAAACCAAGAGCAGCTCAACTTACTTTACATGACCTCCGCTGGTTGCATGGCGGTGGCGAAAATGGGAGAAGCAGTGATTTTTAAGGTGGAACTGCTTTATTCAGTGTGTTTAAGGTGGAACTGCTTTATTCAGTGTGGTTAGTGGTTTTAATCAGCGGGTCTGTTTGTGTTGGAGAGGAGGAGACCTCTGTGGATCATTGGGCTCCCAGTAGAAACCTCCTGAACCATGAACACTGAAGGAATCCTAACCGGGAGAAGCTGACTGCAATGACACCAATGGTGGTGAAGACAACAACTCCCATGATCCCACACTGCTTCACCACCTCATCAGACTTAATCTTTTGTTAATGTGAGGGAGGATGATATGTTGTGTACAAGAGACTGAGCTGAATGGGACGTGTCCCAGAGGAAGCACATCCAGTCTTAAGTGTAATTAGGAACAGGTCCTGGGTGTTGGGTTGGTCTCCGTTCAGATGAACCACATGTTTCACAACATATTCACCCGAGGATTAATTACACTCTCATTATCACATTCTCCCTCATCCATCCATCTCTGCTTATCTCTCTCTCTCTCTCTCTCTCTCTCTCTCTCTCTCTCTCTCTCTCTCACCGTCACCTGATTTACAACCCTTCTTTTATTTTCTCTTTGCTGCCTCTTAAGCCGGCACATCTGTTGTTACACAGATTCATTACAGTAACAGACCATTAAAGGCTGAACGGGCTCAGAGCCAGATGTCAAACTATTTATTCTCTGCCTCTCTGCGTCATCCTGGGCGTCGGCCAACAAACGCTGTAAAATAACTGACAATCATATTTAGAATAACGTTACTATCTGCAGTGTTCCTTTATTTTATTTATTTTGGCTAAAATCAACACCGTTTGTCAGAATACATAAGTTAGTATCATCAGCTGGGGAAGCCGACGTCAGCCAACTAACACATGAGATAGTATTTTGCTAGTGATAATGCTAAGGTTAGCCAGCCAGCTGCAACACAACCACGCTGAATAACTTTAGTAATCTGCAAACAGCAAACCCTCCGAATCATCTGGGTGAAGCTAGCTGACAGTATTTATGACATTAGCCACCTAAAATCACAATATATTCCACAAGCTTTGCAGTAAGTTAGCTTTGACTTTGGACTTTGTGTTGTGGGTCATTTAAGGACGTTAGCTGCCTCCATTTATAAGCTAACGTTAGCTCGTTGTGCACAGTCCACAGGCAACCAAGGAACAACCCGTTCACTCATTGGCAATCAATCGTGATTAATACATAAAAATTATAAGTAAAACTGTCTTCAAAATCTTACGTATGAAACCTTTAACATTACAAAGGAAATAAAATAACTAAATAAATATGTTAGCTGTAATCTTTCAGTTTCTGGAGTCAGTATTGTGTAAACAGGGTTGAAGAAGTATTCAGATCCTTCCTAAAGCTTCCTCCACCACTGGTTTTACAGTGTAATTGTCCTGTTTCCTCTCAGAGGTTCCCAATAGATTGCAGGAGACCAGTTACCTTGAAACAAGCTTAATAATCTAAAGCAAATACTGCCTGATAAGGAGAAACTCGATGTTCTCGTTCAGGATGTTTGTGAATTTGCAGGTTTCTGGGCCGTAAAGCTAAAATGAGCTTCTTGCATTATTCCCGCTCGCTCTGCTAAAACTGCGCCGTTAACTGCACCACTGTCGCGGTCAGTGAGCTTTACAGCAAAAGGTTAAAGTAATAAAGAGTTGAAAAGGTCGGCAATCGGGCTGTCAGCTGTAACGGCTGAACAAGAGGCTCAGAGAGTAAATCTGGCTGTGGACTTAATTAGTTTTAGTCAGAATAAAGTGTCCTGACTGCACTCGCTGGACGACGATTTACTTACTGGGGATTTCTGTGATGGTCTAAAAAGTATGCGGACAAATAAAATGTTCACTGAAGCATCAAATCCAACTAATCTTCACTCTCTAAATATTGGAAACTGGCTGCAGGACGCTGAGGAACTGAAGTAACACAACTTAATCCTCCAAAAAAACTGGAGTCAGTCTTTCACATTAATTAAACTCAACTTAAAATTAATTATTGAAGTAACTCAAATTTGTGCTGTATTTTGATTATTGGTGATTTAATTTGTTCCACTGACTCAATTTCTTTAAAATGACTTTATATTATAATAAAATATAAGCCCCAAAGGCCCATAGCTAATTGGCTGCCATTTTGATAATTGATTAGTTATAAATTGTTAAAAATAAAGCTGTTTTTACAGGTTTCAAATAAGTTTGATGAAAAGCTGCTTATGAGCTTAACTTTCATTAACTGAATGGAATTAATACAAATAGTTACTTCTACTCAAATCAAATATTTTATACATTATAAAATATATATTTCAGATGTTTAGAGTTAGTGTTTCTGCACACTTATTTCCATGTGTAACGTTATTTAGGAAGCTTTCAGTAATTAAACTGTATTTAATAATATTTTAATAATCGATAAATAGACCAAATAATATTTCTTAATAATCTAATCACTGTAATCACTGTAATTACTTACTACTAAGTAGATTTTTAGTTTTATCTTTGTTCTCTGACATAAGAGCAAAAATCTGAATCCTAGAAATCAGCGGCTTCTAACAAATCACGGATATGAACAAAAAATAAGATAAAACTTGTTTGTATATCACTTCTTGCATGAATCTTAATGTGAAGTTGAAACAGGAAACGGTCTTTAGATTTTACAGAGATATCTCACGGCAAAACCTATTTATACAACGTTTTAAAGGAACTTAAACAGAATAAAGTTGTTTTCTTTTATGTTATAGACTGTAAAGTGCACAGAAAACCACCGTTATAGCATTCATATGATATTTTCTGTTTCTTTTGATTGTAAAAACTTAGATTTATACGTTAAAATATAAAGTTCCAGAAACAACAGCTGCCAGTTTTCACCGTAAAAATAATTTTCAGAGATCAACGCCTCAGTGGTTGATACGTATGCGACCTGCGTGGTTGGTGCACAACAAAAGGTTTTTAAGAAACAACATCTGATACAAGTCGTAAAAAAATCTGAGCTGCAGCTCTTCAGCGTACACGCCCGTGTGGGGGCCATGTGGACAGGGGGTCTTTGTACTCTGGTCAGGGTGGAGTTCAGGGGGAATTTGGTTTAATGACATGAACACACACACATGCCAAACACTGAGACGTTGACATGCTGCCGCCCCTCCCCAACAACTTAAATTACTTTTAGTGAGTAGCTTTCACAATTCATGATGTGTAAGAACTAAATGGAGACGACATTTTTTTATTGTTTCCTTTTTCCTTAAAGACATATTTATGGATATTTCATATTATATTCAAAAAAAAAAAAAAAAAAAAATTAAAAAGCCTTTTTTTACAATTCTCTGTCTGTGTTATATAATTATATTTTATGGTGTTCGGTTTTCCCCGGCATTGTTCGTCTAATGCAACATGACGATGTTTATCAGAGACTAAAGACTATTTTGTGTTCATATGTTCAATCTGAAAATAAATTCTAAACTCTAAAAATAAAATTTTGTTCACAGAAATGAAGGAAATCCCTATAGAGCAGCCCCAACGCCATGTTTCACTGATATGTATGAAAATCGGTACACACTTAGATCATGACAAGACGTATAAAAAAGTCTCTTAGACCCATAACCCTAACCCAACAGCAATCCGGCCATTGTTAATTTTTTCGAGTTAGTTTGACTTGATTATTGATGATTTTGACCAAAGCGGGATTAAATTTTATCTGGAGCTGTTGTCATAGCAACAGTCCTTAAACTCGAGGTTTACAGACAGTTAGCCGACCCCACTGCACACTGGCAACCACAGCTGTAAGAAAATAATGACTTTATGTTTCATCTTCATCCACAAAAACTCTCAACAGTGAACAAGATGTCATTGTGCAGATAACCTCCTGCAGGGCCCTGATCTGATCTGGAACTTCAATAAACCTGCTCTAAGTGGAGCTGAGCATCTGAAAGGACTGAGTCAAACTCTGTCAGAGCCAAAACAGAAGCTGCTTTCTGAGACCAGGTCTGCAACCCCCCCCCCTCCCTCCATGTACTCTGGCCGGCACGCTCACATGTGGCTTCCTCAAAAAGCCGCCTCTGTGCTGCCGGCAGATTCTGGATAAGGTAAATGCTCGCTCTGGTCATTATCCCCCCCCGGCTTCACCTCAGCAGCGAGGACTGAGTTCAAGGTTACTCTGTGAGGAGAGAAAAGCTCTGACACACAGGAGAGTTCAAACACGGGACAGCAGCATTTCACCTCATATGTACTTTAATATGCAGGAGCTCATGTTCAACCAACTCTCACTGATGGACTAAAGTATGTGATTCTAACAGCTCTCACATCAAAACAATGACAAAAGTCTGATGAGGTGGTGAAGCAGCGTGGGATCATGGGAGTTGTTGTCTTCACCACCATTGGTGTCATTGCAGTCAGCTTCTCCCGGTTAGGATTCCTTCAGTGTTCATGGTTCAGGAGGTTTCTACCGGGAGCCCAATGATCCACAGAGGTCTCCTCCTCTCCAACACAAACAGACCCGCTGATTAAAACCACCAAACACACTGAATAAAGCAGTTCCACCTTAAACACACTGAATAAAGCAGTTCCACCTTAAACACACTGAATAAAGCAGTTCCACCTTTACAATCACTGCTTCTCCCACGCTGTTGGACAGACAAAGGACGTCCCGGAGGGGCTGCGAGCCGAGCTGCTGCTAACGTTAGCTCAGCTTGTTTCTCTGATAACTTAAGATCCAGACGTCCGATGACTAAAATCCTTCATCCGGTTCAAATCTAGAGTTAAAAAGCACCAAGATCTAAACAGTGGATGGTAACAATGTGGCTTCAGACTGGATCAACAGTCAATGTATGACAGCTTCTGGCAGACAACCACAACGCTGACGCAGGCACAAAGGGGATATGACGCCATCGACAGGCGACCGGTGAAACGCAGCGTTACCTAAATAAAATGACAGATTTCTCTGAGTTTGAACATTGTTGGAAACATTTGGGATAATGGAAGAACTCAACTCAAAAAAAGTTAAATTTACTGTCAGAATGTTGTTTTTTCATTATTTGGGTGAACTGACCCCTTCCAGCCTGACAAATGGTAATTTTATCTAATCTTGAAAACAAATGGAGCATATTTGTCACACCCAGCTCCTTAAGTACACTTGAGGGAGATCATCCTCCTCGACTGGGTGTGACTGAATTAGATGAAATAGGAGTAATTTACTGATTTATTGTTTTATTTGGAGTGCTGCATTTTTCATCAGCGGTGGAAAACAACCAAGTGTTAACTCAGGTAAAGTCCACATTTGGACTTATTATTATAATTAATTCCACTTAAATTGTCTTTATATAAATGTTGAATTTATTCAGTTTTCTCAAAATAAAGCAAATTAATACATTACCTGTAAAAACAGCTGACATACAATAAACAAAGTTTAAAATTGTGTTTTTTTACGTCACAAACATCTTTCTTTTGGGGATCATTGAGAATTATTCAGACTTATGATGATTAATAAACAGCATTATAATGTTTACACTGTTATAAAGATATAAAGTCAATAAAATGAGTCAGTGGAACAAACTGAAATTAAATCTCCAATATTTAAAACAACTTTAAGTTCACTCACAACAACTGAGTTGCTTCAACAATTTATTTTTTGAGTTTAATTTGATGTGATGAGTGATTTTATTGAGATGAGTTGTCAGATTTTTTAATTTTTTTTTATTGTCGAGTCACATGATCAAACCGAGAACATCAACAAAGGACCCTGCAGTGATCATTGCATAGCTGAATGTGATGAAGAAACAAGGATTAAATTGAATATGATTCAATCACAGGGGACATGGAGTAATTTGTTGTAGAAAATATCACATAATTGAGTTTGTTGCAAACCTTTTTAAACCTCCCGCCTTCACTCGGAGGAGGTAGAGGAAGCATGGAGTGACGCAGCGAAGACTCCCAGGATGATCCCAAGTTTTATCTGAGCGCACACATGTGAAACAGGAGCCTCGCTCTGAGATAAGCAGAGAGACCCGGCGGCACCTACTTTACACAGCGCTGTCACTGCCGGTGAGAACTCTCTGTGGGAAATACATGATAGTGGTGAAAAGGATGTCATGGGTCAACAAGGGAAGAACACAGGAGAAGAAAGCCTTTGAAGAGACTGAATTTATGTGGACAGGGTGGATTAGCTCATAGCTCTGGGAAACATTTTTCAGAAGTCTTTCTTCCAGTCGTCTGCTGAGGACTTATCAAGAGATAAACCAGTGAGGACACACAGAGACCTTTAATAAATACTCCCCTGAAGGGAAAATATGAATGTCAAAGTAGAAAAATGTGATTTATTTTCAGTTACACTAAATGCTCTTGAATACTCTTTTTTATTGCTTATGAGAGTTTATGGAAGAAATTAAAGGAAACTGGAACAACACTCAATCAATTATAAAGCAAGAATATCAGGGCCATTTTCACAGGGATCCCTTTGACCCCTAACCTCAAGATATCTGAATGAAAATAGGAACCAACAAGTCTGACCTTTGTAGTTTTTTGCATGTGGTATGAATGTGTTATTTTAGTGTATTTGAGCATTTGTGCATACTGGGATCCATAAACATAAACTGGGAATGACTACATGAGTCAATGCCCCACTTGTGCCCCCCAGTCAAAAAAGTTTAAAATGGACTGCAGCAGTGTCGACAGGTCTTTCTTTGCACAACGCTCATAACAATGCCGTTGCTTCTTTTTCTATTGTAGAATCATTTAACTGGTACAAATTTCTTTGAGATGAAGCTCACTGGTTTATCAGAACCCAGATCATCAGTTTGCTACAGAACAGCACCCACATGACGAGCATCCACCTGAAATGAACACAGACTGTAAAACTGCAGACCCGCCAAAACCGGATCACTACACCACAGTGTCTTTACTCAGTCAAAAGCCTGTTGGCAACCAGTGGAGCTCAAGTCCTTTTCAGGGGGGTCAAGCTCCTAATGGGTCCTCCTGATGTTTACTGTGAGTACGAGTAAAAAAAAATAAGACCAGAAGATCTTGTTTCATTCATAAACTGTAAGTTTAGACATTTCAGGCTGGGGAACTTTGTCATATTAGTGGTCAGACCCAACGTTAGCCAGCAGATGTCAGTGTGACTCTACAGTGTTGATTTAGATGAAAGGTTCTGTGTTTGACTGAACATGTTGTTGCTTTCAGACGTCAGGTCCTTCTGATGCTGATTCTAATTGAACTGAATGCAGCGTTTCATCTGGATGTTATCATGATTATAAAATGACTGACAAATGTTCTTCTGCTCTGAACATGAACTCTGAACTTTGTGGTGTTTCAGGAGGAAAAGTGCCTCAGTTATTCTCTCATATTAGTTTCACAGTTTCTCCATCAGCTTTGTATGAGACCCTGGAATGAAGACAAGAAGAAAATACTTTGTTCATGTTTGTTTATTCATGATGTAAAGCTTCAGTTTGTTCACACGTCCCATCAGTAAAGTCTGTTCAATGACTCTTGTTCAATGAGTTCATGTACAGATTCACTTCATCCACACAATCAGTTTGTTTGATTACAGTCTCAGCTATGTACAAGGAAACAATCAATCATCTCCTTATTGATTAATTACAGTTTTATAATACCTCACAGAACCTGATTTATACATCCATTTGATCAACAACAACAAACAAATAAATGTGATTATAGATTTCTTTACAAATGTACAAAATATCTCTGATAAAGGAAGGTCTGGTTCTTTCTCTCAAACATTTACAGGACAACTAATGAGAAGATGTCAAAGTACCGCCCACAATGTTTGATTGACAGCTGATCTCTGTGCAGTGAAGAAACGCCACAACAATCAGCTCTCAGCAACAAACATGAAGACAAAATCAGTTTAAGGATTAAAACTCAGAGTTTAACTCAAAGTCCCTGAAATGACTTCTGTCTATTTCAGTTTACAGAACTCAGCAGTGTCTCCAACACTGTAATTAAGATAAAATCCAGCATAGAGAGGCTGAGTAAATGTGGTCTGGACTCTGTGGAGGAGAGTCATGGTTTCAGAGACGCTGTAGAAGGACAGAATACCTGCACTGTGATCCAGATACACTCCAACTCTGGAGGACTGAGGACCTGAGACAGGAGTGTGGACCCTGTTGTAATAAAAGCTATAACTGTTTGTGAAACAATTTAACATCCAAGATTTGTCATTGAATCCAAATCTACATTCATCTGACCACCCTGCTCTGCTGATATTCTTGTATGCGACTGCTACATTAACTCCTCTCCCTCTCCACTCCACCTCCCAGTAACAACGTCCAGTCAGACTCTCTCTACTCAGGACCTGAACACATCCAGTGAATCTGTCTGGGTGACTAGAATAAGACTGTTGTTGACTTCTTGTTACGTTTCTGTTCCCCTCAGATAATAATAGCCATGTGTGTGCTGTGTTTGGGTCCAGTGTGAGTTCACGTGAATATTGTAAGAATCCAGCTCTGGTCTTGGGCTCTGGTTGTGGCAGTAAAACATCCACTTCAGTCACTGTCAGTGAGACGTTTGTCCATTTCTCCTTTAGAACGTCCTGCAGTTTATCTCTGATAGGAGCACCTTGGAGTCCAGTCTTCTTCAGTTCCTCCACTAAAACTGCTAACATGGTGCTTTTTACCAGGACAGGCCTCGGTGTGAAGGTCCGCCTACACTGAGGGCATCTGTGGATTTTCTTCTCATCCTCTTCATCCCAGTAGCTTTTAATACAGTTCATGCAATAGCTGTGTCCACAGGGAATAGTCACCGGATCCTTCAGTAGATCCAGACAGATGGAACAAGAGAAGGTTTCTCGGTCTAGCTGAACACCTTTCTGCGCCATTTCACCTCTCAGTGACAACGACTGTCTGAGTTTCACTTCCTTATAAATGAAACCAGTTTGAGCTCTGATCACAACAACATGTGTCTCTGCAGTGAATGGGGCCTGTCAGCACTTGAACATGTTGGTTACACCCATCTACAAACTGTAGATCTGAAGGGGAGGGAACAAGGAAATACATTAACAGAGTGTAGCTCGCTGTGTTTGAGATAAGATTAAATGTTCTTTTATTTATCACCCAGAGGGGAAAATAAAAATTGCCCAGCACTAAAGAGTAAATGTAGAGCAAATAGTGAAAAAGAATAAAAATACAATAAAATATAAAATATAAAAAATACCTCCACTATATGCAATAAAGTGGAATATTGTGCAGATGGATAACTGTACATGTGCAATGTTTTGTAGTATTCCGTACAAGTATTGTACAAAAACCAAAAGAGTTGTGCTTCAAAGGTTAATAGTTAACAGTCAGCCTTGAGAACAGGAAGAAGAGGGAGGCGTTATCGAGGGTTCAAGGTTGAACGTTATTGTCATTATACGATACTGGATTGCACTACAACATGCAGTTGTAGTCCACTCCACTCACACTGAAAATGTGATATTCAAACGGACAAAAGACTCACTGTCTAACTTCTCTTCCTGTACAGTGCAAAGAGGAAAAACCTCAAGATGTCAACATGAGGAAAACAATTTAAAATGCACTCACTGATTATCTAAGTCATAAAGCAACTTTTAAAACATTGAACCAGAAAAGAATGAAATCATATAATGAATTTTACATAATTAGATTCATAAACATGGTGACAAGATTTGTGAGTTCAGGTCGCAGGGGTAGCAGGTTCAGCAGAGGACCCCAACCTTCCCTTTTTGACTGGGACCTCCCAAGGCGTTCCCAGGCCAGTGTGGAAATATAATCTCTCCACCTGGTCCTCGGTCTGCCCCATGGCCTCCACTCAGCTGGACGTACCAGGAACACTTCCCTTGGGAGGCGCCCGGAGGCATCCTCACCAGATGCCCAAACCACCTCAGCTGGCTCCTTTCTATGCAAAGGTGCAGCGACTCTGCGCAGACTCCCTTGCGGATGACCAGGCTTCTCACCATATCCCTAAGGGAGACGCCGGCCACCGTCCTGAGGAAACTCATTACGGCCGCTTGTACTCGCGATCTTGTTCTTTTGGTCATGACCCATCGCTCATGACCATGCCTGATCATGCCTTTCGGGCTCAACTCTCTTTTCAGTGAGATAAAGGGACTGCAATTCCACCCCTGCTGCCCTGATTCTCTGGGCAATCTCCTGCTCCATTCTACCGTCGCTCGTGAACAAAACCCTGAGGTACTTGAACTCCTTCATTTGGGGTAAGGACTCACTCCCTACCCAGAGTAGACAAACCACCCGTTTCCTACTGAGAACCATTGCCTCCGATTTAGAGGTGCTGATCCTCATCCCAGCCACTTGACACTCAGCTGCAAACCGATCTAGTGAGTACTAAAGGTCACAGGCCGATGATGCCATCAGGACCACATCATCCGCAAAAAGGAGCAATGTAATCTTAAGTCCACCAAACTGCAACTCCTCCCCCCCACGACTACGCCTCAATATCCTGTCCATGAAAATCCCAAACAGGATTGGTGACAAAGTGCAGCCCTGGCGGTCAAGGATCCGGACACAACTCTCGCTTTGGAAATACAGGGATTGGATGGCCCTGAGAAGTGACCCCCTAACCCCCAATACTCCTGCAACATCTCCCACAGAATATTCTGGGGAACGCCAAATCCACAAAGCACATGTAGACCAGATGGGCATATTCCCAGAGACCTTCCAAGACACCTGTGAGAGTGAAAAATCTGCTGTTCCACGACCAGGACGGAACCCGCACTGTTCTTCTTCAATCAAAGATTCGACAATCAACCGAACCCTTCTTTCCAGCACCTTAGAGTAAACTTTCCCAGGGAGGCTGAGTAGTGTGATGTAGTTTGCACACACCCTCTAGTCCACCTTTTTAAATGGGCGAACCACCACCCCAGTCCGCCACTCCTTTGGTGCTGTCCCTGACTTCCACGCAATGTTGAAAAGGCATGTCAACCAAGACAGCCCCTCAACACCCAGAGGTTCCCCGCTTCCTCTCCTGAGGTGTTGGATGGTTTTCCAGAAGCGCCTGGCTGCTGTCTGAAAGTCCTTCTCCATGACTTCTCCAAACTCCTCCCACACCCGCTGTTTTGCTTCCCTCACAGCTGAGGCTGCAGTCCTTCAGGCCTGTCGGTACCATGCAGCTGCCTCCGGAGTCCTCCGGGATAACATATGCCGGAAGACCTCCTTCTTCAGTCGGACAGCTTCCCTGACCACCAGTGTCCACCACTGTGTTCAAGGGTTTTTTTGAGGTACCCAAGACCTTAAGACCACAGCTCACAGTCGCAGCTTCAGCAATGAAGCTTTGAACACCAACCACTCTGGTTTGATGTCCCCAGTCTCCACAGGGATGCCGGAGAAGCTCCGCCAGAGGTAGGAGTTGAAGTCTGTCCAGTGGCTTCCCCCGCCACCTAACCTATCTCACCACCAGGTGGTGGAACTATGGAGTCCACTACTGGAGCCCTATACAGGACTTCTCTCCACAGGGTCTCCAAGAAGGCCGAATACTCTGAACTGCTGTTTGGTGCATAGGCACAAACAACAGTCAGAGTTTTCCTAAAAAAAAGTTTGTGCTGTGCACACCACTATACACACCCATCAGCTTAAGCTAGTAACTGAAGCTACAGGAGGCTGTGTTTAAAATAGTTTGATGCTTGATTTACTAAATCAATCTGACGTTGTCATTGATGCTTAATACTTCAGTACTGGACAAAGGTGGAGTAACTTTACCTGTGATGCTGCAGTAAATCAATCACAGTTACAGGAACCCTGATCACCACTCTTTTAGATGCATTTCTTTGTTTCAAATTGAGGATCAAATACAAACCTCGAGCACAGCAGCTGTTTATCTCTTTATTGATTATGATCATGTTGATTCCATTTGTGTAACACCTCACATTTCCTCATTTGGACATAGACAACAACTACAAATGTCCTCTAGCAAATTGTAATGTTAAAATAATGTAATAAATGTAATTACAGATTTCTTTAGAAATGTACAAAATGATAAGAACAAACTATCTACAATAAAGGAAGGTCTGCTGCTTTAAATTTAAGGATCTATGCAGTGAAAGAGAAACAACAACATACAAATACATCAACACAAATATAATATATATATATATATTTAGAGAGCAGAGAAATGTCAGATCAGCTAAACAAAAGCCATCATGAGCAGTGATAACCTCTAAGGCTGAACAGACACAGGAAGGAGCGCCACCTAAACACACTCAAACATTTACAGGACAACTAATGAGAAGATGTCAAAGTACCGCCCACAATGTTTGATTGACAGCTGATCTCTGTGCAGTGAAGAAACGCCACAACAATCAGCTCTCAGAAACAAACATGAAGACAAAATCAGTTTAAGGATTCAAACTCAGAGTTTAACACAAAGTCCCTGAAATGACTTCTGTCTATTTCAGTTTATAGAACTCAGCAGTGTCTCCAAAATAAAGATAAAGTCCAGCATAGAGAGGCTGAGTGAATGTGGTCTGGACTCTGTGGAGGAGAGTCATGGTTTCAGAGACGCTGTAGAAGGACAGAATACCTGCACTGTGATCCAGATACACTCCAACTCTGGAGGACTGAGGACCTGAGACAAGAGTTGTGACATTGTTGTACCGAAAGTTATAACTGTTATTGACACAATATAATGACCAAGATTTGTTATTGTTTCCAAATGCACATTCATTAAATCTCCCTGCTCTGCTGATATTCTTGTATGCGACTGCTACACCAACTCCTCCCCCTCTCCTCTCCACCTCCCAGTAACAACGTCCAGTCAGACTCTCTCTACTCAGCACCTGAACACATCCAGTGAATCTGTCTGGGTGACTAGAATAAGACTGTTGTTCACTCATTTTTGTTACTTTTCTGTTCCCCTCAGATAATAACAGCCATGTACTTGCTGTGTTTGGATCCAGTGTGAGTTCACGTGAATATTTTAAGAGTTCAGCTCTGGTCTTGGGCTCTGGTTGTGGCAGTAAAACATCCACTTCAGTCACTGTCAGTGAGACGTTTGTCCATTTGTCCCTCAGAACGTCCTGTAGTTTATCTCTGAGCTCTGACACAGCCGCTGTCACATCCTCAAAGTACCTCAGAGGACGGATATTGATGCTGGATGTAGATTCACTGAGTGCTGACAGTGAGGGGTAGTTGTGTAGAAACTGGGTGTGGTCCTCTGTGTGTGACAGCTTCTTCATCTCAGCGTCTTTCCTCTTCAGCTCAGTGATCTCCTGCTCCAGCTTCTCCTGAAGCTCTTTGACTCGACTCACTTCAGTTTCCTGCTGGGATCTGACCTGCTGCTTCACATCAGAGCTTCTTTTCTCCATGAGACGGATCAGCTGAGTGAAGATCTTCTCACTGTCCTCCACTGCTTTATCAGCAGAGCGATTGATAGCCTCCACCTCCCGTTGAAGCTCCTTCACATCTTTCTCTCTGTCCTGGATTCTCTGCTGGATGTTTTGTCGACTCACCTCGAGCTCTCTCTGCCTCTCAGTCCTTTCTGCTGCAGCTGAGACTGTGTCGTGGCCTTTATGTTCATCCACAGGGCAGAGATAACAGATACACTGCTGATCAGTACGGCAGAACATCTTCATCACCTCATCATGACGAGAGCAGATGTTCTCCTGGAGCTTCTTGGAGGGGTCCACCAGCTTGTGTTTCTTAAAGGAAGGTGATTCATAATGAGGCTGGAGGTGTTTCTCACAGTAAGAAACCAGACAGAACAGACAGGACTTGAGGGCTTTCAGTTTTCTCCCAGTGCAGAAATCACAGGCCACATCTTCAGGTCCAGCATAGCAGAGATCAGCAGGAGCAGCTTGGAGTCCAGTCTTCTTCAGTTCCTCCACTAAAACTGCTAACATGGTGCTTTTTACCAGGACAGGCCTCGGTGTGAAGGTCTGTCTACACTGAGGGCAGCTGTGGATTTTCTTCTCATCCTCTCCATCCCAGTAGCTTTTAATACAGTTCATGCAGTAGCTGTGTCCACAGGGAGTAGTCACCGGATCCTTCAGTAGATCCAGACAGATGGAACAAGAGAAGGTTTCTCGGTCCAGCTGAACTCCTTTCTGCGCCATTTCACCTCTCAGTGACAACGACTGTTTCAGTTTCACTTCCTTATAAATGAGGCCGGGTTGAGCTCTGATCTCAACAACATGTGTCTCTGCAGTGAATGGGGCCTGTCAGCTCTTGCTCATGTTGGTTACACCCATCTACAAACTGTAGATCTGAAGGGGAGGGAACAAGGAAATACATGAACAGAGTGTAGCTCGCTGTGTTTGAATCAGGAAGAAGAGGGAGGGGTTATCGAGGGTTTAAAGTTCTGTTTTATTGTCATTATACAACACAGGATTGCACAATAACATGCAGTTGTAGTCCTCTCCACTCACACACTGAAAATGTCAAATTCAAATGGATAAAAACTGACTGGAAAGGAGTAAAAGATTCACTGTGTCTAACTTCTCTTCCTGTACAAAGAGGAAAAACAGCTCAAGATGGCAACATGAAGAAAAACATCCAAAAGTTACTCACTGATTATTAAATCATCAAACAACTATCAAAAGATTTCCAATGAATTTAAAGGAGTAAATATGTTGATTACACCAGAATACAATGAAAACAATACAATTAATGTTACATAATTACATTCATCCTGAGTTTTATATCGGAGGTGAGAAGATATTAAAGTCTGTTATTTACTTGCTAATTAAAGAAAATGTAAAGAACAAGATATTAGAATCAGAGTGAGTTTTATTATAAGAAGGTTTTCAATACAAGGAATTTGCCTTGTTATCTTTGTACATAATAAACATAAAGTGCTAAAAACTATAAATAAAGGAAACAAGAACTTCAAGCACAAAAATAAAAATATTATGAAGAGAAAAATAAACAATATGTACAATATGACTGTTATATATATTTTTATTTTAGCTCTTTGGTTGTTTGAACTTCTTTAATGCAGGACGAGGCTGTTTATCAGAGGTTCTGTGAATATAGTTTGTGTTCAGGTCTTCAAAGTCAAATCAAACAAAAATGCTGAGATATGTCTACTGTATTTATTTTCTGAAGTTTTCTAACACCCCATAAAACCAAGAAGGCCTCCCGACCTACTAAATAACTAAAGAATACATAATACAGACAGAGAATTGTATAAAAAGTTCCCTAAAATATCAGGAAAACTGATCTCTGATCAATATTCAAAGGAAGTAATCTGCTCAAACTTCATCCAAATCTCTGGTTTTACACAAACTTGCTGCAGTTATTGTGTTCACTGTTTGGGTTCATTGTTCAGTTTATCAGCTGTTCTCTGCTGTTATTGTTATTATTCAATATAATATTATAATATATAATATGAAATAGGAAAGTGCAGTCCTCCATATATTCACATATCAGTGTACATGTTGGTCATACCTGTCTTGGGGGCTGATTCTGGGGGGCGTGGCTAAGCCATTTTCCAATGCCCATCTATGGGACCAAGACAATACCTTAGCCTTCGCCATGACTGAATTTTGTGCAAAGTTTCATGAGTTTTAAGGCATGTTTAGTCCCCCAAAGTGTTCAAATGTTAACGCAAAAGCTGCGCCATGGCAACAACGTTCCACACAAATCCTTAACATTCATAAGATGTCATCGGCATCGTCCTAAGGGACCGCTGACAGAATTTCAGCTGGATCTGGTCAATCTGCAGGAAGATATAAATAAAAGTATAAAAATGACATTTCCTTTCACCACTAGGTGGCGCTGTCACTATGGATTTATAAGTAGATTTCAGGTGGATCTGATCATTCTGCGAGGAGTAGAACATGAAAGTATGAAACGTGATACTTCCTGTTGGCACTAGGTGGGGCTCTCACTATATCTGAATATTATCACATAGACGTGTTCAGGGCGGGACTCTTATCAAACACGTGAAGTTTCGTTGAGATTGGACCATGTACGCAGAAGTTCAAATCCCTCTTTCATGGTGAAGGTTCAAAATTTGACGCCACGCGCACAGTTCACTAGAATATTCACTTCAAATGTCTCTTCTGTTCATTTTAAACAACATCAGTAAACATCCCAGTTTGTCACAGAACAAAAGCAACTGAGCTGATGCTCGCCACCCGCCTCCTCTTCAGATGGCTGACAAAGGAAGTGCTGGCAGAATCAGAGAGCTTAAAAGGGGTTGGGCCGATAATCGGGCTACACCATGTTGGCTGGAATCATGGGGAGACGCCGTGCTTTCTCCTTGGTGAGTTCAGTTATTTCTGATTATTACACTTTTTGATGTTTAGTATTTCAGTATTTTCCTTAGTTCATATTTGGCTGCATTATCTGGATATTATTTGAGGTTATTATGGTTTGTTAAAATGTTATGTTTTAGTCTATTCCCCCTGTGTGTCAGAGTGGCCTGATCAGCCACTATTTAAGTTTCCCCAATGTCTCAGTTTAGTTAGGGTCATCTAATGTACCACACTCCAGTTCGGTAGGTGGCAATGCGCCTATAAGCTTGATGCCTGCCGCCAAACAAATCTAAAAGAAAGAAAGAAGAAAAGTTTAGTTAGGTCAGTTTGGTTGGTTGGTTTAGTATGTTCAGTTTGTTCAGTTAATGTGGCCTGAGTTAAGTTCTGTTTAGTTGACCTCTTTTATGGGCCCAGAACATTTTGTATATTTTGTAAATTGATTATTTTTTGTGAATAAAATTACTTTTTGTGAACATTTACCCTTGACTCCTCATGCCTGCCAGCTCAGTCCCTGACAGAGACACACCCACACCTGGTGCACTCAGTCTGCTGCCTTCAGGCTGGGAGACACACCCACACCTGATGCACTCAGGCAGGGAGGGGCGCGGCCTGCAGCTCAACTCAACACCCACTACAACCCAGTTTGCTCCATCTGTCGGTCGCTGACAATAAGTAGATCTATACAGAACACAATCAGGTACATTCAATATTTACTGAATAGAATATGTTCTATAAAATCTTAATATGAGTCAATATTTACTACAAGAAATTGCAAATTATATTTATATGAAAAAATAAGAGAATACAACATTTAGCTTTGGCTCTGCTGCCTGTAAATGAGTCCAGTCCTCACAATATTATACAATTAGCTTTGGCTCAATGTACATGTGAGCCTGTGGCTGGAAGTCTCACACTAACTGCATCAAACTGGACCCCCCGGGTTTCCTTATGTACATTTAAAAACTAAAACACTACATGGTTTGGCTGAATATTTGACGGTTCTTATCTTTATTTATTCAGTCATTTCCTTTGTCATGTCTTTATGACGCAAGGACCTTAGCTGGACAGTAAATGTGTTTTCCTCCCGGGAATCCTGTCTGTGTGTGTGTGTGTGTGTGTGTGTGTGTGTGTGTGTGTGTGTGTGTGTCTGCTGGTTGGACCCTGCTTCAGCTCTGTGTGACAGAAACGACACATTGTTCCTCGAGGCTGAGGGTCCGGCAGTTTCCTCTTCTTTTCCGCTCTGTCTTCCACTCTGCGCTCGGTTAGCTGAAGTTCACGCTGAAAGAACTCAGTTTGTTGGGATGAGCAACCTCTGTCACCAGAACCTGCAGCTCAGGAGGAATGGTTACAGGTCTCTTCACTGTCGGCACGGTGGGACTACAAGGACAGAACAACAACCGGATGACAAAAGCATTCATCAGTAAATGTATGAAGTATTACTAATATTTCCACATGGCATAAATAACACACAAACAGATGAAACAGTACAGCAAACGTCACGTTTAAGAACACTGTTTGAGACTAAAGTGATTCTGAATGTTCAGTCAGTAGAAGAAAGAATGTACTTACAACACTGTGCCAGTTCCTTGGTGGGTGATATGCTCTTCATCGCTCTCTCTAGCTCCTCATCATCATCATCCATCACTGTGACACAAACATAAAGAATTACAGTGCTGTAAAAATGTGTTTCTACTAGGGATGCACACAGAGAGGCCGCAACGGGGCAGGCAACCCAGGCAATTGCCTAGGGCCCCGAGCTGAAGGGGGCCCCGACAGGCGGCTGATATCGCTCCATATCAGCGACACAACTTGAAACCCCCGTAGACACTGCAATGACACGTCGGGAATCTCCCTAATGGGCCCACACATTCATAGCCACACAATAAGTTAGTCCTTTGCTGCCAGTGCCAATGATATTTTCTCCCAGAATAAAGCATTTGTTGTCAAATGTTAAAACCGATACCAGCATCAGGTCTGCTGTCAGTTTAGTCTGAACTGGTGCTAATTTGTATTTGGAATTATGTTTTTTAAATGTGAGCTGCTTGACAACTGAATTTCCCTTCGGGGATAAATAAAGTATATCCTATCCTATATATCCATATATTTTCTGCTATAGCCTAAATGTTACATTAAATAAAATGTTAACATGAAGCATTAAAGTTGTTACTGCAAATGGATGTTCATTAATTATTCCATACAGATCTCAAATGTTGTGTTTGTGTAGCATGCACAGTTCTTTACTTTACTTTACGCAAGCCAACCAAATACATTGTGCTCTTTTCAACAACAACAACAACAACAACAACAACAACAGCAGCAGCAGCAGCAGCAGACCTCTACAGGAGAGGCTCACAGGACTGGCACTGATTTCAATAGAAAGAGATGTTCGGACGTCCTTACATATGGAAGATATAGTGGCTGCATTTGCAGAAGCCAAGGCCCTCAAGCAGCAGTTTTAAGAAAATAAAAGGCACTACTATTGGACTGTGGATATAGGACCAAGGTGTCACAGCAAGTTTTAAGTTCTTCCTTTCCACTTCAATTCCTTGTTTGTTTGTTTTTTTGCGTTTTTATCATTCTGAAAATGTTTCACATTTCAGTTATGTTTGTTTTTCTGTTATTTATATATTGTATGTAAAGTTTGCATTCAGATAGTTATGTTATTTATTATTTATTTTATATGTTTATTGTTTAATAAAAGATCTCTTTACTGATCCGTAGCCCTGGACTTCATTCATCATGATTCTGGGGGGCCCCATGGTCCTTCTTGCCTTGGGCCCCCAGGGGGTCTAGAAACGCCCCTGGATGCACCAAGTATTGGGCCACCGAAATACTTTTATCACTGAAACAACACGGCCGAAACAGAAAGTTGTGATGACGCAAACAAAAACCGCGGCCAGCACACGCTTGTCTGGATAAGCGCCAACATGTCTGCGGTGTGGACGTATTTCAATATGTCTGAGAAAGACCCACGGATAGCAATTTGCAAAACGTGACATTTCAAGAGGGGTTGCATCTGCAAAGAGTTTGTCCACGTCGGGTTTAATTGATCACCTGAAATCCAAACATCCTGATTGCCATTCTGAATATGAGAAGAATGTGGCACAGAAAAATCAATCCGAGCACGCCCACTCCGTCTGTGGCCGACGTTTTTGAAAAGGCAAGAAAGTTTCCAGTGATGGTGCCAAGGCAAAGGGCATTACACAAAGAATGATGGAATTCATTGCCTTAGACGATCAGCCATTCTCTGTCGTAGAGGATGTGGGATTTCGTAGGCTGATAGAGCATATTGGGGCCGGTTATGCCATTCCGAGCAGACGACATTTCTCAGACGTGTGTTTACCTGAGCTGTTTAATGTTGTTGCAACTCACGTCCATGAGCTTATAGCATCAGATATTTCAGCAATCAGTTTCACGACCGACATATGGAGCTCAGACGTCAGCCTCACCAGTATGCTCAGTCCAACCGCACAGTGGATCGACACAGATTTCAAGAGTTTAGAGGGTCACATACAGCAGCAGCCATTTCTGAAGCATTCGCCAATATGTTCGACACCTGGCAGATTGACCCATCTAAAGTGTATGCCATAGTCAGTGACAATGCAAGAAATATGGCAAAAGCGATAGAAGAAAGCAAGCTGAAAGGAATACGTATTCCTTTGTAAAAATCTACAGTTATTTACTGCAGTAAACACAGTAACATTACTGTTTTTTACAGTAGAATACTGTAAATTTTACAATAAAACCTTGTCCACGTGACAAAATCACAGTAGTTTAAGTGTTACTGTAGAAAATCACAATAGCCAGTATAGTACTGTAAATAGTAAACTACTGTATTTTTCCTTTATTGTGTGTATTAGATAAAAAAAAAGTATATCATAACAAAAACAATGATTAACTTTTTATTTTTTTTTTTTTTTTTATTTAATTTTGATCTAATGTTTTTTTTTTTATCATAGGTTTGACCCTTTATATCTTATATACGTCTTCTTATCTCATCATATCAACATCAACAGTTTTTCCAGACATTTGTTGTAATTTCCTTTGGAATATCTCTTATTGATATCTCTGAAAACTTTATATTTCCAAAGAATGTCTAATAAGGATCCGTAGACGGGCTCTGACATAGCAACAGTAACTAGGGGGCGGGGCTTATCGAAGGGTCAAACTGACTTATTATGGGACTTTTATTTTGTGAGTTTTTTAAGAAATAGTTTTACAGCACCAAGCTCCTGGGTGTTTCTGCTGGCGAATTTTATAAGATTATGAATCCAAGTTTTTTAGATTATCTTGAGCAGGCTGGCTGTAGAATAAAGAGACATATGGAGAGTGTAGCAAGCCGTGCTACAGACGGGGTTCCCCAGCACACAAAACTCCCGGACCAGACTGTCGGTTCACGCAACTCTTTATTTGAGGCACAAAATGCAGCTGTACCGCTGCGGCAGCTTCCGCCCAGAGGCCTGTCTTTCGGCGTGTGTCTCTCCGGGATCCAGCACACTACTGCCAAGATAAAAGGTAGAGTCATCAGACAATCATTGGCAGGTGAGGTAATCAACTCACCTGGTGCCACTCTCCCAGGTCTTCCCCACACCTCTCCCTCCTGCAGCTGAGCGCAAACCACGCCCACCTCCACATACCCCCACCGCCCGATTTAGGCCGGGGCGTCATCCGGCCTAACCTACTCCCCCCTCCCCATAGGAGCGGGAGAGAAAGTCGGCCACGGCCATCTGCGCCCCGGTCTATGGACCACCCTGAATTTAAACGGCTGTAGGGCCAGATACCACCGAGTGATCCGGGCGTTGGCATCTTTCATGCGGTGGAGCCACTGGAGGGGGCATGGTCCGAACAGAGGGTGAACGAGCGCCCCAGCAGGTAATAACGCAGAGCCTCGACCGCCCACCGGATCGCCAAGCACTCCTTCTCGAGCGTGCTATACCGAGACTCCCTCTCCGACAGCTTCCGGCTGATGTATAACACCGGGCGGTCGACACCCTGCACCTGCTGGGACAGAACGGCCCCCAGCCCTCTGTTCGAAGCGTCAGTCTGCAGGATAAAGGGGAGAGAGAAGTTAGGTGTGTGAAGAAGAGGCTTCCCACAGAGGGTTTGTTTTACCTTCTCAAACGCCAGCTGACACTGCTCCGTCCACTGGACCGGATCTGAGGCACCCTTTCGAGTGAGGTCGGTCAGGGTGCGGAATGAACCGCCGGTAATAACCTGCCAGCCCCAGGAACCGCCTCACCTCCTTTTTGGTCTTGGGCCGTGGGCTGGCTGCAATTGCTGCTGTCTTGTCTACCTGAGGACGCACCTGCCCACTGCCCAAGTGGTACCCCAAATACCGTACCTCCCACCGTCCAACTGCACACTTCTTCGGGTTGGCAGTGAGCCCCGCCTGCCTCAGTGACTCGAGCACCGCCGCCACACTCTGCACATGCTCCCGCCAGCTGTTACTATGGATGATAACGTCATCCAAGTAGGCGGCCGCATACGTAGAGTGCGGACGCAGGACCCGGTCCATGAGACGCTGGAAAGTGGCTGGGGCCCCAAACAACCCGAAAGGAAGTGTGACAAATTGGTACAATCCATACGGAGTGGAGAAGGCCGTTTTTCCTTAGACTCTGGAGACAAGGGAATCTGCCAATAGCCCTTGGTTAAATCCAGTGTCGTGAAAAAGCGAGCAGTGCCTAACCGATCCAGGAGCTCGTCGACCCGAGGCATCGGATAAGCATCAAACCGTGACACATCATTCACCTTGCGATAGTCCACACAGAACCGAATAGACCCATCCTTCTTAAGTACCAGAACAATGGGGCTACACCAGGCACTGTTGGACTCTTCTATTACCCCCATCTCCAGCATGGCCTTCAATTCCTTCTGAACCACCTTTCTTTTGTGTTCAGGTAACCGATAGGGCCGTGAACGCACTGTCACGCCCGGGTGAGTCTCAACATGATGCTGTATGAGATTTGTGCGTCCTGGCAGGGGGAGAACACGTCAGCAAAACGCTGTTGCAACGCGGCAACGTCTGCTCTCTGGGACGGTGTGAGATGGTCACCACAATGGAGTGAGGCAGGATTGGTGGAATTTGGGACCTCAGGCCCCAACTCATCTCTCTCTTTCACCGTGGTCACCAGAGAAACAGGCTCCGCCTCTCTCCACGCTTTAAGGAGATTGAGATGGTAAATCTGTGCTGCACCTCCCTGTCAGAACGCCCAACCTCATAATCGACATCACCCACTCGCCGTGTGACCACAAAGGGCCCTTGCCACTTGGCGAGTAATTTGGAGCTGGAAGAAGGGAGTAATACAAGTACTTTGTCTCCCGGTGCAAATTGTCTGAGTCTAGTTCCTCTGTTGTACAGGCGCTGTTGACGCTCCTGGGCCCTGAGCAAATTCTCCCGTGACAACCGGCCCAATGTGTGGAGTTTTGCTCTCAGGTCCAGGACGTACTGAACCTCATTTTTACTTGGGCTCGGACCTTCCTCCCAGCTTTCTTTAACAAGGTCCAGAACCCCCCGTGGTGTCCTGCCAAACAGCAGTTCAAAGGGAGAAAATCCCGTTGAGGCCTGGGGCACCTCGCGCACTGCAAACAACAGAGGATCTAGCCACCTATCCCAATTACGGCCGTCATCGTGCACAAACTTACGGATCATGGACTTCAGGGTTTTGTTCAGACGCTCGACAAGGCCGTCGGTCTGAGGGTGGTACACACTAGTCCGA